TAATATAGACATATATTATTGTGGCGAGCATTTGGGCCAAGAATATATATACAAAAGACGTGTATATATATATCAATCAACTGAAGACAAGAAGTTAAGAAGATTCAACATTAACACCATTCTAAACTACATTTTACAGAAATAAATATAAAAGAAAGTTAATATAAACAAAGCACCAGGGCCTGACAGTATCCATCCACGTGTACTTAAGGAACTAAGTGCAGAAATAAGTGAACCTCTGTTTTTAATCTTTCAAGATTCTTTTCTTTCAGGAAGTGTTCCGGGGGATTGGAGGAAGGCAGATGTGGTTCCTATATTCAAAAAGGGTTCAAAATCCTTGCCTGGAAATTATAGACCTGTGAGCTTAACTTCTGTGGCTGGTAAAATATTTGGAAGGTTATTAAGGGATAATATTCAAGAATTCCTTGAGAAAAACATGGTTATCAGCAAAAATCAGCACGGTTTTATGAAGCACAGGTCATGTCAAACTAACTTGATTGCATTCTACGAAGAAGTAAGTAGAAGTATAGATCAGGGTGTTGCCGTGGATGTGATCTATTTGGATTTTGCCAAGGCATTTGATAGAGTTCCACACAATAGATTAGCTTTCAAACTCAAGGAAATCGGTCTAGATGAAAATGCTTGTTCTTGGGCATAGGCGTGCGCACGGGGTGTGCCGGGTGTGCCTGGGCACACCCTAATCCCCGTGGCACGCCTATGGTTTGAGTCCTGCAGGAACAGCGTCCCTGCACTTTTTTGAGCAGGAACGCTGTTCCTGCAGACACTCAGCACCCCCTGTCTCACCTCTTGCCCCTGTCATGGGGAGGGCAAGAGGTGATCGATCCCCCCCCCCCTCTCTCTCCAGCTCAGCCGCGGCGAGGGAGCTGTGTGATGTCTGCGCTCTGCTTCCTCTCGCCGCACGCTGATGCCGGAAGCCGGAATATGACGTCATATTCCGGCTCCCAGCTGCAGCAGACAGCCCGCGCGGCTAGAGGAAGCAGAGCGCAGACATCACACAGCTCCCTCGCCGCGGCTGAGCTGGAGAGAGGCGCCCGCCCCACTGGACCCCAGGGACAAGTCCACGCCAGCACTCCAGGTAGGAGGCTGGGTGGACATTTTTTTTTAATTAAAATGTAATAATTTGTTCTTATGTGTGAGTGTGTCTGTGTGAGTGTGTGTGTCAGTGAGTGTGTGTGTCTGTGTGAGTGAGTGTGTGTGTCTGTGAGTGTGTGTGTCAGTGTGAGTGAGTGTGTCTGTGTGAGTGTGTGTGTGTCTGTGTGAGTGAGTGTGTCAGTGAGTGTGTGTGTCTGTGTGAGTGAGTGTGTGTGTCTGTGTGTGAGTGTGTGTGTCAGTGTGAGTGAGTGTGTCAGTGAGTGTGTGTGTCTGTGTGAGTGAGTGTGTGTGTCAGTGTGAGTGAGTGTGTCAGTGAGTGTGTGTCTGTGTGAGTGAGTGAGTGTGTCAGTGAGTGTGTGTGTGTGTGTGTGAGTGTGTGTGTCTGTGTGAGTGTGTCAGTGTGTGGTCAGTGTGTGTGTGTTGTGTGTGTGTCTGTGTGTGTGTGTGTGTGTGTCTGTGAGTGTGTGTCTGTGAGTGTCTGTGAATGTGTGTGGTGAATGTGTGTGTGTGTCAGTGTGTGTCAGTGAGTGTGTGTCTGTGAGTGTGTCTGTGTGATGTGTGTGTGTGTCAGTGAGGTGTGTGTGAGTGTGTGTCGTGAATGTGTGTCTGTGAGTGTGTGTGTGTGTCTGAATGTGTCTGTGAGTGTATGTGTGTGTGTGTCTGAATGTGTCATGTGTGTGTGTATGCATATATATATGTATATATATATACACACACACGCAGAGCCGGCGCTATCTGAGTGCCGGCTCTGCTTTAAGCCTCCATGGGCCGGCAGGGAGACCAAAGATCTACCTCACCGGCCCACAGCAGCATGGAGGGAGGCAGGAGAGGACCCAGGGAGCTCTAGACAGAAGCTCCGCCAGGTTCCTCTCGTGATATCTGAGTGTTGCTGCGTCAACGCTCAGATCTCGCGAGAGTTAACTCTAGCCCTGCAGGCTAGAGTTCACTCTCCACTGGACCACCAGGGATGGCACATGGCAGCAAGGATTTACTAATCTGCCAAATCCCTCCAAACATACAGCACACACATACAGCACCTACACACATACAGCTCACACACACACAGTACACTAACCACACCCTCACAAACACACACAGCACCTTTAAAAAAAACGCAGCACCCTCACACACAGCACACTAACAGCACCCTCACAAACACACACACACACACAAACAGCACCCTCACAAATACACGACACTCACACAAACAGCACCCTCACAGGACAAACAGCACAGTCACAAACACACAAACACCCTCACATCACACTAACAGCACGCTCACACACACATCACACTAACAGCACACTAACAGCACACACAGCAGTGTGTGTGTGTGGATATATCTATCTATATATATATATATGGATATATATATATATAGATATATAGATAGATATATCCACACACACACACACACGCGGCGTGTGTTTGTGCTTTAGGGTGCACACCCAAATGCAATAGGCTGCGCACGCCTATGTTCTTGGGTAAAACATTGGCTTAAAAACAGAGTACAAAGAGTTGTCATTAATGGTAAATGTTCAAGCTGGACAGAGGTGGCAAGTGATGTGTCCCTCAGGGGTCTGTTCTGGGACCCCTACTATTTAACATTTTTATAAATGATCTTGAAGACCGCATTGAAAGTCATGTTTCAGTATTTTCAGATGACACAAAACTCTGTAAAGTAATACAATGTGAGCAAGATATTAATTTGCTGCAGAGGGATTTAGATAGACTGGGGGACTGGGCACTCAAATGGCAGATGAAATTTAATGTTGAAAAATGCAAAGTTATGCACTTCGGCGTAAAGAATGCACAAGCAACGTATACCCTTAATGGAAGCGAATTAGGGATAACAACACATGAAAAGGACTTGGGAATTGTTATAGACAACAAACTATGCAACAATGTGCAATGTCAATCAGCAGTGGCCAAGGCCAGTAAGGTATTGTCATGCATGAAAAAGGGCATTCATTCTCGGGACGAGAATATAATTTTGCCTCTTTATAAATCACTGGTAAGACCCCATATTGAATATGCTGTGCGATTTTGGGCACCTGTTCTAAAGAAGGATATTATGGCACTAGAAAAAGTGCAGAGGCGGGCTACAAAATTAATAAAAGGAATGGAACATATCAGCTATGAAGAAAGGTTAACAAATTTAAACCTATTTAGTTTAGAAAAACGTCGCCTGAGAGGGGATATGATATCATTATACAAATATATTCGGGGCCAATACAAACCATTGTGTGGAAATCTATTCACAAACCGGACTTTACATAGGACACGAGGCCATGCGTTTAGACTGGAAGAAAGAAGATTTCGTCTAAGGCAAAGGAAAGGTTTTTTTTACTGTAAGAACAATCAGAATGTGGAATTCTCTGCCTGAGGAAGTGGTTTTATCAGAGTCCATACAGATGTTCAAACAGCTACTAGATGCATACTTGCAAAAACAGAATATTCAAGGATATAATCTTTCAATGTAGGGTAATAACTGCTTGATCCAAGGATAAATCTGACTGCCATTCAAGAAGGAATTTGTTTCCTAGCTTGTTGCAAAATTGTGATTCAAACTGGTTTTTTTTGCCTTCTTTTGGATCAACAGTAAAAAACAAATGTGAGGAAGGCTGAACTTGATGGACGCAAGTCTCTTTTCAGCTATGTAACTATGTAATACATGGTGGCAAATTGTTGAACTAAAATGTGAGGATAAATGAGTTTCTCCTTTAACTCTGACATGAATATACTGGCATATGTGGAGCCCATCGAAGTACCCCTCAGTTGAAGGAAAAACCGATCCTGAAAAAGAAAATAGTTATCTTTCATCAGTATCTCCAGAAGTAGCATCAAAAAGCATAGAACATCATTCTGAAATCCTAATGTCACCAGAGCTGATCTGGCTGCCTCAAGGCCTGCACTATGCTCAATAGATGTATACAAGCTAGTTATATCAAAGGTGACAAGGATCAAGGTGTCAGTGGCTACTACTTCCTCAAGTTTCAATAACACTTCAGTGGTGTCTCTTACATATGACTTAATTTCTAACAAAAAAGGTCTCAAAACATTATCCAAAAATTTGGCCAATGGAGAAAGAAGGGAGCCAATCCCCGCCACTATAGGCCTACCTGGAAGTCTAGTCAACAATTTGTGGATCTTGGGGAAAGTATACAAAGCTGGTATCACAGGTGTGGTCTCTAATAAAAAACTTAAACAACTCCTTACATATAATTCGATTATTTTAAACCTGATTCAATAGTTTCTCAATTTTAGATTGTAAAGCCAACATGGGGTCACCTGGTATCACTTGTAAGTCTCACTATCCCCTAGTTGTCTGAGGATTTCATCAACATAATAAACCGTGTTCTGTATTACTATTGCACCACCCTTATCGGCAGGTTTAATAGTTACATCCTTATTTTTGCTTAAATTTATTAAGAGCTAATTTCTCCTTTTTCGAAAAATTGAAGAGACATGGGTGGTGCCTACATACAGGATTAAATGACATTACATTGTTAATATCCTTTCTTACTAAACTCGAAAAAACCTCAACAGCATGATCTATTGAGGGAGGATTAAACGTGCTTTTATTCTTAAGCTTAGTGTCACTTAGCTTAATATCTGCATCCCTCTGAATTACAGAGGAAGAGAGAGGTACTTGAACATTATCAAAAAGATTTTGAGTTTAAGAGAACGAAAGAAATGTGTTAATTCCAAATCAATCTCCACACGGGTAGGAGTTTAAGTAGGACAAAAAGTCAGACCTTTTGAGAGAACTGCAAGTTCATCGTTCGTCAATACAGTTGCTGAGATGTTAATTGCTGTAGTTTCTTTCTCTTTGGTCCCAGTTTCTTGTGGTCCCAAATTGCTGATAATGTCTGATTTCTTGTGACCACCCCCGCCTCGTCGCATCCTTCTTCGCTTGATGTTACTTCTGAGGAGGGGGTTCTCTCTGTAAAAGAGAGAGAACTGTCCTGGGAGTTTTCCATCTCAGTATTCGATGAATCCCGAGCAGAAGGGCGTTTGGATTTCCATGTCTTTTTTCTCATAGATGCTTCCCTTTTCTTGGAGGGGCAATTCATCACGCTATCAAGATTATGCCACCTATATACATTGCCCAACTCATAATCAGTCTGATCTCTTTGGAATGTATTCCTCTTCCGTTCCTCAATCTCTCTCTTAAGTGTATCAACACTAAGGTTGATTTTACTTTTTATTGCAGTTAGATCTAATCCCTGTGAGGCCTTAATACGTTCTGCTTCCAGCCTTGTTTCTACTTCCTTTGTTTTGACAATCACTTGTTGTAGAAACTCTAAATTAAGAAGGCTCCAGTCCATAGAGCACTTATTGAGAATCGCCTCTAATCTGGTACAATAATCTCACCCCCATATTAAATCAGGTTTATTGCCAAAATGTATAGACTTTCATCTGCTTGCAATGAACAAATCAAACAATAGCTATTAAAATAGCTTAACACAATAATTACTTCAAGTGGTTTCCCCAAATTGAACTGAATTTTTTTAAATGGCCCTATTCCATGGGCCTTGAGCTGCAGCTCCAACAGCCCCTATGTTAATCCGGCCCTGGCCACCAGAGGTGAATGGACAAGCAGCAAGCCAAGCAGAACTGGACCGGGAGATCAGCAGTGTGAATATCCCAAGTTAAAATTCAACGTGTTTCATCCGTTAAACTGACTTTTTCTTTTCTTTTTCTCGCTTGACCCTGCCTTTGGATTACCCTTTCATCTGTACTGCGCTTTGGTTTTGCCTCCTTGTGCCATCTCCTGCACATGGACTCTAACTCCCGCTAAACCGTGACAGTATCCTGGTCCTTGTTTGTGAAGGGCAATGATCTATTCTCTTAACTTTGTGGACCATTCTTTTGACTTTGCCATATTTCTAACATGCAGTCAAACGTGACACTCAACAACCTCCCAGCCAGTTCAGGTATTTAAAGTGTTCCAGCTTAACCACATCTGGTGCAAATATTGAAGCCCTTGAATAGTCGCATCAGATGTGCTTGAGACAACACCTGTTTTGGGTTTCTTTTCAGGGGGCTGAATAATTTTGAAACTGGAGTCATTATAAGTTAAATTTTCAGTTGAATTTGGGAAAACCACTTAAAACATTCAATGTGCTGAGCTGCTTCAGTAGCTTTTCTTTTATTTGTTCATTAAAAACAGCTGAATGTCTGTAGATTTTGACAAACCTGATTTTCGATGGAGTTACATAATTTTGATTACAACTGAAATTGTAGGCACCCTAAGTGATTGGTGTAGTGGCAGGTACGTCTTGTACATATACAAAATTGCGGCTACCTTTACAGTACCACTTTATTCTGCTTCTGATGGGACCTGTCATTCATGCATTTACCACACATACTTACCTCTTCTGGGTAAAAAATCACAACAGTGGTTAGCGTCTCCTGCATTGATACAAGTTCCAGAGGACTCTGATCTTTTTTTAATAGTGCCTGTGCCACAGCTGTGTGTCTCTAAGGAACATTTTCACACAACCTACTGAGAATAGTGTTCTTCCTCCTCCCCCTGGGAGTATCCACTCATATGGGTCGGGAAGATAGAGTTCCACTTTTATTTTCCTCTTAATCTTTTTTTTCCCTCTTGTATATGCTTTGCATTAACTAATTATAAATTGGAAGTAAATTAATACTTTACATCCTAAATTAGAAGATGAGATTCCTTCATCACTGCTGGCAATGGAAAACCTTATTCTTCTTTAGTCATTGTGATTGCTAAGTCCACCAAGTCCATCACTGGCATAAGTCGGTCTCTTTCCCCTTGTTTGTCAGTCAGTTTGGATCAGATGGTCCCTTTGAGATGTCTGACTATTGATAATATCCCCCATCATCTTGGGTGAAGAGAATTCCTTCATTCTTACACTGTGATGACATTCCCTTCTGACATGTCTCTAAGCAATTTCTACTACCACCTGTAGGTGCAATGTTGACTAAGGGATATTTTTGAATGAATTAAAAAAAAAAAAGCCCACAAAAACCATCTTAACTATGTTATATAAATCACCTGCCTTCTTAGGACATAAAAGTTATGGTTATATTGCTACTGTCAGGAAACACATTCATTGACCTGAATCTTCAAACATTGTTTAAACGAGTAAATCTTTTCATTATCTTAGGACAATAAAGTTGTAGAAGGCCCGCGGTCTTCTTTACATTCCACTAAATTGGATGTAATCTGCGGTAATAGTTGATGTCAACTTAACCCCTTCACGTTTGCTTAAGCTGCAATCAATTGATAGAATAAGTGTGGTCACGTTAATACCTTAGTTGTAGTAGTACACAATATATAACATGTTATACTAGCTATCCTATATTTGATATAGGGAATATTGTATTATGATAAAAACAAAGATACTTGATAACAAATTAGAGGACCACTCTAGGCACCCAGACCACTTCAGCTTACTTAAGTGGTCTGGGTGCCAGGTCCAGCTAGGCTTAACCTATTCTTTTATAAACATAGCAGTTTCAGAGAAACTGCTATGCTTATGAATGGGTTAAGCCTTCCCCCAAAGCCTCTAGCGACTGTCTCATTGACAGCCGCTAGAGGTGCTTGCGTGATTCTCACTGTGAAAATCACAGTGAGAGCACGCAAGCGTCCATAGGAAAGAATTGATAATGCTTTCCTATGCGACCGACTGAATGTGCGTGCAACTCCTGCCGCACGTGCGCATTCAGCCGACGGGGCGGAACGGAGGAGGATCGGAGGAGGAGAGCTCCCCACCCAGCGCTGGAAAAAAGGTAAGTTTTTACCCCTTTCCCCCTTCCTGAGCCGGGCGGGAGGGGGACCCTAAGGGTGGGGGCACCCTCAGGACACTATAGTGCCAGGAAAACGAGTATGTTTTCCTGGCACTATAGTGGTCCTTTAATATAAAACTCAGGCATTCTGAAGTCTATCAAATTTGTGTTATAATTGCTTAAAAAAAACCTTTACTTACGTCTTTTATGCTACGTAACAATATTTCTAGCACACTAATTTTTAGTATAGAGTTTTGTTCTGATCTGAGAGGATCTCTTCATATTTATGGTTGGGTAGGGAATTGATGCCCTTGTTTTAAAAATTAACATTGTTTCACCTTTACCTTAAAGTATGAGTAACCAACATGGCTTCTGGAATCCTTGTTGCATTATAATTCTGAATATTCGTTAATGATCCATAGGTCTTGTTTGATATGGTCAATATGCCGACAGTGCCCAGTCTGGCACCCCACCAACTTGAAATGTCACCAGCCGCTACTAGTGTTATGTAAGTTTGTGTATGTATTTGGGATGTTCACGGTTTTGTGTGTAGGGTGCTCGTGGAGGTGTATGTGAATGGCAGATAGCATTTCATCTTCTTGGCTGCTGTTTTGGTCTACAATCTGAAATTTACTTTGTATTCTCTTTGAATCCCCAACACACTCATTTTAGTAAATAGCCCTGTGGGTGTCCACTGGACTTATCTAAGTGAGCCACTAGAAAATTGTTACCCCTTGAAAATTCTGTGCCGACAGGCATCTGAGATCTCAATCTGACGCGTATATCCCCACCTCTCTATTCACTAAACCACGAATGATCAGGAATTGACTAGAGGACTAAAAATTTTAGGCTGAAAACAAAAACTGTTTATTCTCATGTATAGTTTATCTGTACTCCCCAGGCTGTACATACCTAACAATATTAAATCAAGGCATGGGTGTGTTTGCTATTGAAAAGAGCCTTGTAACTATGATTCATGATAAACTATGCCCACAATGTAAAAATTTAGCTTTAAAGAAAAAGTAATTCCAAAAATTCTGTTTACTAACCGACAGAACTCAACACCTACAACACTATATAATCCACATTACTGATCAGAGCAAAATCACTCGACAGGAAACATGCCATTTGCTATCTGCATGGAAAATGTTTCTTTAGTTTTTTCAATTCCCTTTTTTAGCTAATTTTTCCAATTTAAGTTATTTTTATTTTAACTAAATTATGTTGGAAGAGATTGTTTTTTGGCTTAATAAAAATGTTAAATTGTGAAAATCAAGGGTTTGACTGGTACATTTAATACCTATTTTTTTTTTTAATGGAAAGACTTGTATTTGCAGTTTATATGCCCACCCCCACTAATAATTAGTAGAGAGAGCGAAAGTAGGTAGTATATTATAGCAAGGAACTTGGAGACCTAGAGCCACCGGGGTGGTGGGATTTATTTCTATATTAAGCTATTGGCAATATCGTCATCCTACTTCATCCTCTGGAATTAAAGGACCACTATAGTGCCTGGAAAACATACTCGTTTTCCTGGCACTATAGAGCCCTGAGGGTGCCCCCACCCTCAGGGACCCCCTCCCGCCGGGCTCTGGAGAGAGGAAGGGGTTAAAACTTACCTTTTTTCCAGCGCCGGGCAGGGAGCTCTCCTCCTCCTCTCCGCCTCCGATCCTTCTTTTCGGCTGAATGCGCATGCCCATGTCTGGGTGCCTAGAGTGGTCCTTTAATAGTTATTAAATGACCGGAGGACTGAGCATTTTCCGGGTACAATGCATTGGTATTAGCCTGGCATAACAGTCTGTCAAGCATTCTAAACTATGTGGTCCAGAGTCACATTTTTCCCTTTTGAAACCATACTTCAGTTGATTTACCTCATATAACAACTGATCCCAGGATGAATCTAATTTCATTTCAAACTCAAGAGACATTTCCCCATTGAGAACGTGTAACTATTCATCACGTTCCAAGTTATATGCGAGGTTGTGAAGAGTGATCTTTGCACAAAATAAAACACTACTGACCCTTAAGCAAACTCTCTTTCTGATGAAGTGTGGCAATAATATAGTTAAGGTTCATTCCTTACAGTTAGTTTCATTTTTACTTTAGTTATGTTGCAAGATGAGAATATTCTGTCATATTCTGTTTCATAGCACTCTTTAAATACAAATCAGGATGCACACCAATGTTACTGCCAATATAAATGCAACTTTAGTTACAAAGCAATAAACAATACACCAATAAAAGGACACACAAAAAAGTGATAGGGCTAG